TCTGGGACCTGTGTGGACGGTGACACGTACGCCCCCCTGACCATCTTTCGCGAGGAGCCGGGTTCTTGTCTCTACACGCTTCACACTGGCCCCCGAGGGCAGCAGCAGCAGCAGCAGCGGCGGCGGCAGCTGCCTCCGACCCCTGTAACTGCCCCCCCGTCAGGTCCCAGCGTCCCACCAGGTAACTGCGTCAGGTCAGGTTACAGCGTCTGGTCCGGTTGTTGCGTCTTGCTCCTGTCGGTCGCTTGCCCACCCCACCGTTCTGTGGCACCACCGTCTTGGTTACCCATCCGTTCCTTGCCTTCGCACTATGTCTAGTCAGCGTCTTGACTTAAGCCTCCCGCCAGTCTTGCCATCGCTGCCGCCTTCGCCTGCACCGCCGTGCGGCCCTTGCGTCGAAATTCGGCTATATGCCGCCCCTCACTCCTCCTCCCTTCGTCCGGCCACCGAGCCCTTTGAGACTCTCCAATTTAACGTCTGGGGCCCCGCCCCTCGCCCTGGTCCTTAGAGAGAGAGTTTCTTTCTGGTGATCATCGACGACTACTCTCGCTACACCACTGCTTTCCCTTTGGCGAAGAAGTCACATTGGTACTCCTCACTGTCGTGTCAGTTGTCTTCACTCCGACCGTGGGGGTGAGTTTCGCTCCGGCGTTCTTGCCGGATTTCGTCGCGAGCAGGGCATCCGCCAGTCTTGGACGCTTACAAAATCCCCACAGCATAATGGGGATGCTAAGCGCCGCATAGGATTGATCATGGAGATTGCACGCACCTCCGTGATTCACGCCCGTGCCCCCCATTTTCTGTGGCCTTACGCGGTTCGATACACTGCACATCAGCTGAACCTCTGGTCCCGTGTCTCCCATCCAGGAGTTTCACCGACCATTGTTGGACCGGGTCTCCTGGTGTTGCATCACGTTTTCGTGTCTGGGGCTGCTTGGCGTTGTTGTGTGATGCTATCATTCGCATTCACGTCTGTCTGCCTCCCATCATATGTTCGTGCGTTGCATGCGTGGTGTGAGCGTGTGCAAGAATTTGTGTTTTGTGCGGTTTGGATTTTCTGAGTGTTTGTGAATGCCTTTTGGATTGAGCAGATATCTGAAGTGACTTCTCTGCTCAAGTGCTTTCCGACGAGCCAAGGATCGCTTCAATCGGAGCACGAACGAGAAAGTTACGAACGTTTGAAGTTCGTATGCTTTTCATGTTTGGTTGTGGTGACTCGGAAAATGTGGGAGTGACTCAATATGGGGTACAGACTTTTGGGGGTTGGGAAATTCGTACCCATCACTGTAGATGCTGCCAAGTGGTGGAGTGAAGCCAAACTAGGTTGGCAAGTGTGGCCAAGTTGGGTGAGGTGGATTGTGGAGGTTGGGAAAGTGACAAAAGTGAAAGTGGGGTTGCCTATGGAGAGGGGAATTGTGTGGCATGGGGTTTCCTTGGTTGGGGACTCTCTTGGGACCTTCCCTCTCGTCCTCCTCTTCCCTCCTACCTGGTTTAGTGCTACTCTAACACTCTTGTGTGCAACTTGTAAAACTTGTGAAACTATTGTGATTGAGTTAAGTTTCTATGGCAGCTTACCCCCTAGTGCGCCGAAATTCAAAACTCGAGTTATAATCCATCTTCGGATGCGATTCTAATTGGGAATTGTTGTCAAACATTATATATGTTGTGTTTGTTTAGGCTACAGTGGGTTAGCCTATAGGGGGTACACAATTCTAGGGTTAGGTACTTGTACTGATTTCACTGTTAGTTCAATCATTCCTGTCCGTTCATTCTGACATGGTATCAGAGCAGGTCCTTCGCTAGGACCGTTTTTTTAGGGCCCACCGCTACCTACCTACCTACCTACCTACCTACCTACCTACCTACCTGCCTACCGGCGCCCTAGGGCGCCTCGTTTTATTTATTTATTTTTTTTTTCACGGCCCCCTAAGGCCCCGCGACCCGCGACCCGCCCCTTAGCGACCCGCGCGCCGCCCCTTAAGGCCCCGTCGGCCCACGCGCCCGCCCCTTACGGCCCCGCGCTCGCCCCTTACGGCCCCGCGCTCGCCCCTTACGGCCCGTGGTGGTCGTGGAGGAGCTGGCGGTGGTCTGAGCCAGCAGCACACTCCGTCGCTCCAGGAGGCCCGTGAGTGGTATTCCCAGCGCCCGGGGGCGCGTGGCTTTAGCTGCACGTACGTCATCCGCACTGGTGACCGCACTGGTCAGACGTATGGGAGGCCGCACCCCACTCACAGCTGTTTCTCGCGCCTTGACGACGCTTGGCGCGCTCAGTTCCCTGACGGCGGTGAGCTGCCCCGCTGGCTTGATTTGGAGAGGAAGGGAGTTGATATCTGGGCTCTAGACTTTGATGCTATTCTCACTGCCATGTATGCGATGTTTACTAGTGGAGAGGGTGCTCAGTACTTGCGTGTTCCGCCCGACCCGGGCATTCTGACCAGTGAGGCTGCCGCTCTAGGTGCTAGTGAGGCTGCCACTGCAGGTACTCGCGTGTCTGCCACCTCAGGTGATGGTGAGGCTGTCGCTCTAGGTGCTAGTGAGTCTGTCTCCCCTGGTACTGAGTCGACTGAGGCACTGCACACCTTCACCCTGGACTCAGGTGCTTCTCGCTGTTTCTTTCGTGACCGCACTGCCCTTGAGCCACTCGCTCGGCCAGTTGCTGTCTCCCTCGCTGACCCCTCTGGGGGTCCGGTCATTGCGACCTCCTCCACTGTTCTTCCCTGTCCTGCGGTCCCGTCTGGCACACTGTCTGGTCTCCACCTTCCCTCGTTCTCTACGAACTTGGTGGCGGGCTGTGCGCTCCAGGACGCGGGTGTTCACCAGTTCACCCCTGCCTACGAGCGCGTGACACACTGCACGTGTGCTCGGACGGGCCGTCACCTGGCTACCTTCACTCGGCAGCCGAGGTCGGACCTGTACACACTGACCACTGAGTCCCCTCAGGTAGCTGCGTCCGCGTCTGCGTCAGGTCAGCTGTCGGCCCCCTGCTCGTGTCGCTCTCTGGCGCACGACACCGTCCTCTGGCACCACCGACTTGGCCACCCGTCTGTGCAGCGCCTTCGTGCCATGCACAAACGGCAGCTTGTCTCTGGTCTTCCCAGGGTGCTCCCTCCCCTCCCACCCTCGCCGGCTCCTCCCTGTCTTCCCTGTGTCGAGGGGCGGCAGCGCGCCGCTCCTCACTCCTCCTCCTTTCCCCCGACGACTGCTCCCTTGCAGACGCTTCACCTGGACGTGTGGGGCCCAGCCCGCGTCCGTGGTCAAGGTCAGGAGAGGTACTTCCTGATTGTTGTTGACGACTTCTCGTGCTACACCACGGTCTTCCCCTTGCGCACCAAGGGTGAGGTCCCTGCTGTCTTGATCCCTTGGATCCGCAGAGCTCGTCTCCAGCTCAGCGAGCGTTTTCGCTCGGACTTTCCTGTCCTGCGTTTGCACTCTGACAGAGGTGGTGAGTTCTCCTCCGACCTCTTGGTAGCCTACTGTGCGGAGCACGGCATTGAGCAGTCGTTCACGCTTCCGGCCTCTCCACAGCAGAATGGGGTTGCTGAGCGCCGCATTGGCTTGGTCATGGAAGTCGCTCGTACCTTAGACGCTTCTTGGGCAGACGACCAGGCTACTCAGCGGTCGTCTCAGGGTTACACCTTCAGTCTTGGCTCTGGCTCAGTTTCTTGGCGTTCTACACGCTCTTCTTCTGTTCTCAGCTCCAGTTGTGAGGCTGAGATCTACGCCACAGCCATGGCTGCCCAGGAGCTACGCTGGCTGACCTACCTGCTGACCGACTTGGGAGAGCGGCCTCGTTCTCCTCCAGTGCTGTACGTCCGCAACCAGGCTGCCATTGCCTTGTGTGAGGAGCACAGACTGGAGCACAGAACGAAGCACATCGCCCTGCGGTACTTCCTTGCTCGAGAGCTGCAGCAGCGTGGTCAGCTTCGTCTGCGTTACGTGGCCACTGAGGCCAACCTTGCTGATGTGTTCACCAAGGCGCTTCAGCCTTGTGACCATCAGCGCTTTTGCACTCTGCTAGGCCTTGTGCCTACTGGACCTCACTTGCTTACTTCTTGACTCTGTTTGTACTGTGATCTCTATATATATACCTGCATGTTTACTCTTGCTAGGTTGTGATCATTGTACCTCTTGCTCTATTATAAACCTACATGTGAACTGGTCTTGTGACCACTTGCTTGTGCTCGGAATTTGTGTGGAATCCTTGAGATCCACCCTGAGCTTGTTGTGTCCTGCTTTGCCTTGCCCGGTCTTGTGACCCCTTGTTCTCCCCACTTTGCCTATGGGGGTGTGTCAAACATTATATATGTTGTGCTTGTTTAGGCTACAGTGGGTTAGCCTATAGGGGGTACACAATTCTAGGGTTAGGTACTTGTACTGATTTCACTGTTAGTTCAATCATTCATGTCCGTTCATTCTGACAATTGTTGCCACACTCTAGGGCTAACACATACTCGAGTTTGAGACAGTTCTAACGGTGCATTTTTCGTCGACGGCGTTTCTTGTGAAGTCGACATTTCTGTCCAGAAATTGAGACCAACGATTTTGAGTTATTTCGGCTCCTAAGCTTCTAGACTCCGTCCTTAGTCTCTAACAGGCGCTTGTTCGCGACACCTCCACGGACAAGCTTCCCCCTTGCGCCCTTCTCTGTGTCTTCCTTAGTTTCCCAAAGGACTCCTCTGACTTCACCTTCTACCACCTCCACTTCACCGGTTCTTTGACTCCCGTGACGTCCGCTTTGACGAATCAGTTCCCTACAGCGCCCGGTACCCCTGTCGAGGTCTCCCAGTTCTTCCTCCTCCTCTCTTCCTCACTCCCACTCCCCTTCCTACTCCTCCGGTACAGCCTCCCCCCCCTGGTCCAGCCCCGTCAGGTGTGTCACACGCTACCCCCCACCCCCCCCTCGGTAGCTCCTCCGACCCCGTCGCCTTCTCCGCAATAGTCCTCATAGTCACTGCAGCAGCCGTCAACACTTCTTCTACAGGCTGCTGCAGACCCTGAGGATGCTGGGGTCCGTAGCGCGGACCCTGGAGGTGCTACCTCTGGGGGTGTTGGAGTTGGAGCTGAGAGTGTGCCTGCACGAGGTCCTGGTGCTGGGGGTGCTGGAGTTGAAGTTGAGCCCGTGTGTGCAGGAGGTTCTAGCCTCTCTTCGGGGAGCTGGTGTTAGTCGAGCTGTCTCTGGGGGTGCTACGATTGGAGGTGCGGGTGCGCCCTCTGCTGGACCTGGAGATCCTGGGACTGGCCGCGTTGCTGCTGATGGTACTGGCTCTGAGGGTGGTGCGTCTGGTGCTTTGGGGAGCGGTCAAGGGGCTACCGCCGACCCGGACACTACTCCTCCCCCCCACCCCTACCCCACCCAGCACTATGCCCGCCTTCGCCGTGCACGTGAGGAGCAGCTGGAGTTGGAGCGAGAGAGCCTCGAGTTGGAGTAGCAGCAGCTACAGCAGCTGGAGGAGCAGCAGGAGCAGCAGCAACCATCATGGCAGGAACAACAGGAGCAGCAGGAGCAGCAGTAGCCACAGTAGGAGCAAGAGCCGCAGCAGCAGGAGGAGGAGCCGCAGCCACCGGAGCAGGAGCAGCAGCAGCCGTAGCAGCAGTGGTCGCAGCAGCCGGAGCAGCAGCAAAAGCGGCCGCCTATGCCTCCTGTCTCTGGCCTTTGGGCCCTTGGTCTCCCCTCCCCTTCCTCCCTCCTCCCCCTCTCCTCCTGTCTACGGTCCCACGTTTCCTCCTCTTGACTCCACCCCGACTGTTTTCCCTCGTTCTCAGCCTCCGTTGTCCCCTCCTCTTTCTCACACTTGGGCTTCTCGCTCTCCTCGTGCTCGTCCCTCGTCCCCTGTTCCCGTCACTGACCGTCGTACTCTCCTGTTTTGTTCTAGCTCCCCTCGTCCGTCTCCGTCTGTGCTCCCTTCTCCTTCTTAGTCGGCCCTTACTGCTTCCCTCTCTACTCTTGTCACTGACTACTACCGCACGTATTGTCTTGTTCTCTCTCGTGTTCTCGCCTCTCTTGTTACAGACCCTCGTGCCTCCCTTTCCTCCGTCTCCGCCCTTACTGTCACTGTCACTGAGTTCGCCACTACTCGCCGCCTTGACTACGCCACTCGTGTCGTGGATGCTCCTCCTACCCGTCCTCTGGCTTTCGGGGGTGAGTCTGCCCTTGGCTGTGACGCCCTAGAGGACAGGCAGATTGAGCTAGGGTTCCTGGCATCCGCTTCCCCTTCATGTCTGTGCCTTGGGCCTTGGGCCTCTCAGTGGAGAGCTGCCATGGACGCAAAGATGGCCTCCTACAGATCCACAGGCACCTACGTTAACAAGGTTTCCCCTCCGGGGGCGAACGTAGTTGTTGGCATGTGGATCTTCAATGTGAAGCGGCCACCGGAATCGCCTCCGTTCTTCAAGGCGCGTTATGTGGCTAGAGGTTTCAGTCAGCACGAGGGAGTTGACTTCTTTCCAGCCTTCGCGCCTTCTCCAAAGATGACCACTCTGTGTGTGTTACTTCAAGTGGCAGCACAGTGAGACTACGGGTTACACTCTCTCGACTTCTACACTGCCTTCCTTCACGGTCGCCTACACAAGGAGGTCTGGCTACGTCGTCCTCCACCTTCACTGGCACTTTCCCTTCTGGGACCGAGTGGAGGTTCAAACATCCAATCTACGGACTCCGTCAGGCACCTCGTAAGTGGCACGACACTCTTCGACCTACCCTACCCGTCGCTTTTTGTTCGCCGTGGCTCCATACCTTTCTTTGTACTGGTCTACGTCGACGACCTAGACTCTGCCACTGCTTACACGGTTGCTTTGGCGGACGTGAAGTCCGAACTACAAAGGAGACACATGTGCACTGACCTTGGTGAGCTGCGCCACTACCTTGGTCTGCAGATCACCAGGGACAGAGCAGCTCGCACCATCACTCTGACCCAGTCACACATGTAGCAGCGTCGAGCCGTTTGAGCCTAGTGGTCCTTACCCAGAGCTTGTAGGCTGCCTCATGTACCTGATGACTTGTACTCGCCCGGACCTCGCCCTCCCTCCTAGCATCCTTGCCCGATTTGTTGCGCCAGAGAGACACCATCCTGTTCACTGGATAGCTGCTAAGAGGGTGGCGAAGTATCTAGTGACGCAGTACATCAGGCATGGGGCTGGTGCTTGGAGGGAGACAGCCTGACGTGCTCACTAGCCACTGTGACTCTTCTTACGCCGACAACGTCGAGACTCACAAGTCCACGCAGGGGTACTGTTTCAGTCTAGCCTCTGGAGCTGTGCCGTGGATATCTACTCGTTCTCCTCTATCTCGACCTATACTGCTGAAGCCGAGATTGGCCATGGCTGCACAGGAGCTGCGTTGGTTGACCTTCTTGCTCACTGACCTTGGTGAGCGACCAAGCTCTGCACCCACCTTGTTCACAGAAAATAAGTCAATGATTCTCTTGTGTCGAGGGCCTTGATTGGAGAGTAGAGTGAAGCACATCAGCGGCGTGGACAGGCTCATTTGGACTTTGTGGACTCCGAGACCAACACTGCAGACTGTCAAACATTATATATGTTGTGTTTGTTTAGGCTACAGTGGGTTAGCCTATAGGGGGTACACAATTCTAGGGTTAGGTACTTGTACTGATTTCACTGTTAGTTCAATCATTCCTGTCCGTTCATTCTGACATGGTATCAGAGCAGGTCCTTCACTAGGACCGTTTTAGGGCCCACCGCTACCTACCTACCTACCTACCGTGCGCCCTCGTGCGCCCTCGCGCCCTCGTGCGCCTCTTACTACCGTGCGCCCTCGTGCGCCCTCGCGCCCTCGTGCGCCTCTTACTACCGCGCGCCCTCGTGCGCCTCTTACTACCGCGCGCCCTCGTGCGCCCTCGCGCCCTCGTGCGCCTCTCCCTACCGCGCGCCCTCGTGCGCTCTTGCGCCCTCGTGCGCCTCTCCCTACCGCGCACGCACGGCCTGCTAGCCACCCGCGCGCGGCCCGCTTTCCGCGGCGTCGTCGCCAGCCCGCGGCGTCGTCGCCTGCCCGCGGCGTCGTCGCCTGCCCGCGACGTCGTCGCCTGCCCGCGGCGTCGTCGCCTGCCCTCGTCGCGTCGACCTGCCCGCGGCGTCGCCACCTGCCCGCCGCGTCGCCCTGCCCGCGGCGTCGCCACCTGCCCGCCGCGTCGACCTGCCCGCGGCGTCGCCACCTGCCCGCCGCGTCGACCTGCCCGCGGCGTCGCCACCTGCCCGCCGCGTCGCCCTGCCCGCGGCGTCGCCACCTACCCGCCGCGTCGCCCTGCCCGCGGCGTCGCCACCTGCCCGCCGCGTCGCCCTGACCTAATCCGCCGCGTCGCCCTGCCCGCGGCGTCGCCACCTGCCCGCCGCGTCGCCACCTGCCCGCCGCGTCGCCACCTGCCCGCCGCGTCGCCCTGCTCGCGGCGTCGCCACCTACCCGCCGCGTCGCCCTGCCCGCGGCGTCGCCACCTGCCCGCCGCGTCGCCCTGACCTAATCCGCCTCTCGCCCCTGGAGCAGCCGCCACTGCAGCAGCAGCCCCTGGAGCCGCCCGCCACTGCAGTAGCAGCCCCTGGAGCCGCCCGCCACTGCAGCAGCCCCCCCTGGAGCAGCCCGCACCTGCAGCAGCCGCCCCTGGCCCCTGGAGCCGCCGCCACTGCAGCAGCCGCCCCTGGCACCTGGAGCAGCTGCCGTCGCGGCCCGGCCTCGCCCTGCAGCAGCTGCCGCGGAGCTCCCTGCTGCGGCCCGGCCCAGCCCTGCAGTTGTAGCGGCCCCGCTGTCGCCACCGTCTTGCGCCTGCCGCGCCGACCACTGGTGAGCATTGCCCAGCACTGCTACCGCTGCTACTGCTGCTACTGCCTTTTCTACTCCCACTGCCACAGCTCCTGCTGTTACTACTGTTGCTGCCGCTACTGCTACTACTGCTGCTCCTGGCGTGGCCAGATGCAGCTCCAGGGCCGTGCGCGTGAGTCCCTCACGCCCCAGCAGCTTCGTGCGCGTGAGTGGTACGCTAGTTGGGGCTGTCGGGGTGGCCGTAGTGGTGGTCGCTCTGGAGTGGGTCGGTCGGGAGCTTCTGGTAGTGGACAGGTGCAGCTGCCGTGCCCTCCTTCGCCCCAGCTGCTTCGTGCGCGTGCGTGGTACGCTAGTTGGGGCTGTCGGGGTGGCCGTCGTGGTCGTCGCTCTGGAGTGCGTTGTTCGGGAGCATCTGGTAGTGGACAGGTGCAGCAGCAGTGTCCTCTTACGCTCCAGCGGGCCCGTGAGTGGTACGCCAGTTTGGGCTGTCGGGGTGGCCGTAGTGGTAGTCGCTCTGGCGTGCGTTGTTCGGGAGCATCTGGTAGTGGACAGGTGCAGCAGCAGTGTCCTCTTACGCTCCAGCGGGCTCGTGAGTGGTACGCGAGTTTGGGCTCTCGGGGTGGTGGTCGTGGTAGTCACTCTGGAGTGCGTCGTTCGGGAGCTTCTGGGCGCGGACCGGTGCAGCTGCCGTGTAGTGTGAGTGAGGCTGCCGCTCTAGGTGCTAGTGAGACCGCCACTGCAGGTGCTCGCGTGTCTGCCACCTCAGGTGATGGTGAGGCTGCTGCTCTAGGTGCTAGTGCGTCCGTGCCCGCTGGTACTGAGTCGACTGCAGCACTGCACACCTTCACACTGGACTCAGGTGCTTCTCGCTGTTTCTTTCGTGACCGCACTGTCCTTGAGCCACTCGCTCGGCCAGTTGCTGTCTCCCTCGCTGACCCCTCTGGGGGTCCGGTCGTTGCGACCTCCTCCACTGTCCTTCCTTGTCCTGCGGTCCCGTCAGGCACACTGTCAGGTCTCTACCTCCCCTCGTTCTCTACGAACTTGGTGGCGGGTAGTGCGCTCCAGGACAGGGGTGTCCACCAGTTCACCCCTGCTTACGAGCGCGTGACCCACTGCACGTGTGCTCGGACGGGCCGTCACCTGGCTACCTTCACTCGGCAGCCGGGGTCGGACCTGTACACACTGACCACTGAGTCCCCTCAGGTCGCTGCGTCCGCGTCTGCGTCTGCGTCAGGTCAGCTGTCCGCCCCCTGCTCGTGTCGCTCTCTGGCGCATGAGACTGTCCTCTGGCACCACCGCCTTGGTCACCCGTCTGTGCAGCGCCTTCGGGCCATGCACAAACGGGACCTTGTTGCTGGTCTTCCCAGGGTTCTCCCTCCCCTCCCACCCTCGCCTGCTCCTCCCTGTCTTCCCTGTGTCGAGGGGCGGCAGCGCGCCGCTCCTCACTCCTCCTCCTTTCCCCCGACGACTGCTCCTTTGCAGACGCTCCACATGGACGTGTGAGGCCCAGCCCGCGTCCGTGGTCAGGGTCAGGAGAGGTACTTCCTGATTGTTGTTGACGACTTCTCGCGCTACACCACGGTCTTCCCCTTGCGCGCCAAGGGTGACGTCCCTGATGTCTTGATCCCTTGGATCCGCAGATCTCGTCTCCAGCTCAGTGAGCGTTTCCGCTCCGACTTCCCTGTCCTGCGTCTGCACTCTGACAGAGGTGGGGAGTTTTCCTCTGGCCTCTTGGAGGCCTTCTGTCAGCAGGAGGGCATTGAGCAGTCGTTCACACTTCCGGCCTCTCCACAGCAGAATGGGGTTGCTGAGCGCCGCATTGGCTTGGTCATGGAGGTCGCTCGTACCTCCTTGGTTCATGCGGCTGCCCCCCACTTTCTGTGGTCGTTTGCAGTCCGATACGCTGCGCATCAGCTCAACCTCTGGCCCCGTGTCTCCTTACCGGAGACTTCTCCGACACTGCGTTGGACGGGAGAGGCTGGCGATGCGTCGCGTTTTCGGGTCTGGGGATCTCGAGCCTTTGTTCGCGACACGTCCGCGGACAAGCTCTCCCGTCGCGCTGTCCCCTGTGTCTTCCTTGGCTTTGTCCCGGACGCGCCTGGTTGGCAGTTCTACCACGCCACCTCGCGTCGTGTCCTTGCCTCTCAGGACGTCACTTTTGACGAGTCCGTCCCCTACTACCGCCTCTTTCCCTACCGCACTGCCCCGCTCCCCCCCCGCCTCTCTTCCTCGCTCCAGGTGCTGAGGTACCAGACCCCCTCCCCCCTCAGGGTGCCGCTCCCTCAGGTGTGTCCCAGGTAGACCCAGTTGAGCCTGTCGAGGTAGCTGTTGACTCTCGTCCTGCTGGGGGTACTGAGCCTGCCCGTGAGGAGTCTGGGGGTGCGGAGCCTGGGGGTGCGGAGCCTGGAGGTGCTGAGCCTGGGAGTGCGGAGTCTGGAGGTGCTGCGTCTGGGGGTGCTGCGTCTGGAGGTGCTGAGCCTGGGGGTGCTGAGCCTGACCGTGCTGAGTCTGGGGGTGCGGAGCCTGGGGGTGCGGAGTCTCGAGGTGCTGAGCCTGGGGGTGCTACGTCTGGGGGTGCTGTGTCTGGAGGTGCGATCCTGAGCGTGCTACCCGGGGAGCCCTCTCCTCCCAGCAGCTGCAGGAGATGGTAACCTACAGTACTGTCGCCTCCGGAGAGGATGTTGCTACTAGAGCTCGTACCAGTACTTCCCTCCTACCCAGGAGCTCCCCCCCATTCAGCAGATCCGAGAGTGGTACGCGCGGCGCTGCAGTCTTCGGAGTGGTGCTCCTGGTGCTGCGGACCCCAGCGGTGGCGCTGCTGCTGGTGCTGAGGACCCGTGGCGTTGGAGCTACTGCTGGTGCTGAGGACCCGACCGGTGGAGCTGCTGCTGGTGCTGAGGACCCGAGCGGTCGGCTGCTGCTGGTGCTGAGGACCCGGGCGTGGAGCTACTGCTGTGAGCTGAGGACCCGGTGTGGAGCTGATGTGGTGCTGAGGACCGAGAGTGTCGAGCTGCTGCTGGTGCTGAGGACCTGGACGGTGGAGCTGCTGCTGGTGCTGAGGACCCTGCCGCTGGTGTCGCTTCTGGTTCTGGAGACGCTGCGCTGGACGCGACCGTACTTCGTACCACTTCTTCAGCAGGTTCTTGGTCAGGCTCCTCCTCCTTGTCCTCCTCCCTCCGTAGCGTGTCCTCCGCCTGTCCAGTCGCAGTCCCAGTTACCGCCTGACTCGCCTCTCCCTGCTCCCTCTCCTTATACTGGTCCCACAGGAGGTCTTACAGAGCGTCGTGAGCCTGAGTCTCGTCCTGCGTCGCCTGTTCGTACTGCTCGCACTGGTCGTCGTGTCCCACGTGAGCGTCCTCCTCCTGTTCCTGGCACTCACTACATGACTCTGCGTCCCTCCACTGCTCCTCAGCGTGTTCCGCTGCCGTCTCCTCCTGCGTCCTCTCTGCCTACTCTTCCTGATCCGGAGTCTGACTCCCGTCGTGCTGCCAGTCCCACTGTCACCGTCTTCGCTACTGTTGTCACTGACCCTACCTTTGAGTCCTCTGCTGCGTCTGCTCTGGTCGCTGAGTTGATCGACTTTGCTGCCCGGTGTCGTCTAGACTACGCCACTAGCCTTGTTGCTGAGTCTGAGTCTGAGTCTGTCTGTCCTCCGTCCGTCGGGGGTGAGTGTGCTCTTGGCACGGCTCCCTTGAGGACAGACAGGAGGAGTTCCAGTGCTTTGCTGCTGCTTTACCCCACCTCGTGTCCATGCTAGTTGCCCCTGAGGGAGACCCGGATGCACCAGACATCCCGACCCCGCGCACTTACGCTGAGGCTGATGGCGTGGGTCCCTACTCCTCCCAGTGGCAGACAGCCATGGACGCAGAGATGGCTTCCTGGAAGTCCACAGGCACCTACGTCGACGAGGTTCCCCCACCTGGGGCGAACATCGTCAGTGGCATGTAGATTTTCAGGGTGAAGCGGCCGCCGGGTTCTCCTCCTGTCTTCAAGCGCGCTACGTGGCTCGAGGTTTCAGTCAGCGAGAGGGAGTTGACTTCTTTCAGACCTTCTCCCCACCCCGAAGATGACCACTCTTCGGGTGCTGCTGCACATAGCCGCTCAGCGCGACTACGAGCTTCACTCACTTGACTTCAGCACTGCTTTCTTGCAGGGCAGCCTGCACGAGGAGATCTGCTGCCGCCGCCTCCTGGCTTCACTGGGTCGGTTCCTCCTGGTACCCAGTGGAGGCTTCAGCGGCCGGTCTACGGTCTCCGCCAGGCACCGCGTGAGTGGCACGACACATTGAGGACGACACTTGCGGCTCTTGGGTTCGCTCCTCTACTGCTGACCCGTCACTTTTCTACGCACAGACACCTCAATGCCGCCGTTCTACATCCTCGTGTACGTCAACGACTTGGTCTTTGCCACTGCTGACACCGCGGCACTCGCCCACGTGAAGTCGGAGCTGCAGAGGAGACACACGTGCACAGACCTGGGTGAACTGACAAGCTATCTTGGCTTGCGGATCACCCGGGACAGAGCACGGCGCACCATCACCTTGACTCAGTCACACATGGTGCAGCAGATCCTTCAGCGCTTCCGCTTCACGTACTCCTCGCCTCAGTCCACTCCTCTGCCTACCGTCACTCGCTCTCAGCTCTGCCTTCGGATGAGTCCGTAGAGCCGAGTGGCCCGTATCCAGAGCTTGTGGGCTGCCTCATGTACCTGATGACCTGCACTCGACCTGACCTTGCATACCCTCTTAGCATCCTTGCGCGCTATGTCGCTCCTGGCCGTCACAGGAAGGAGCACATGGATGCCGCTAAGAGGGTGTTGCGCTACTTGTGCAGTACGTCGGGCATGGGGCTAGTGCTTGGAGGGCGAGACCGAGTTGTACTTACTGGACACTCAGACGCTTCTTGGGCAGACGACCAGGCTACTCAGCGGTCGTCTCAAGGTTACACCTTCAGCCTTGGCTCCGGCTCAGTTTCTTGGCGTTCTACACGCTCTTCTTCTGTTCTCAGCTCCAGTTGTTGAGGCTGAGATCTACGCCACAGCCATGGCTGCCCAGGAGCTACGCTGGCTGACCTACCTGCTGACCGACTTGGGAGAGCGGCCTCGTTCTCCTCCAGTGCTGTACGTCGACAACCAGGCTGCCATTGCCTTGTGTGAGGAGCACAGACTGGAGCACAGAACGAGCACATCCCCTCGCGGTTACTTCCTTGCTCGAGAGCTGCAGCAGCGTGGTCAGCTTCGTCTGCGTTACGTGGCCACTGAGGCCAACCTTGCTGATGTGTTCACCAAGGCACTTCAGCCTTGTGACCATCAGCGTTTCTGTACTCTTCTAGGCCTTGTGCTGCTCTGGACCTCCATTACTTACTTATTGACTATGCTTGTACTGTGATCTTATATATATGCCTGCTTTTACACTTGCTAGGTTGTGATCACTGTATCTCTTGTTATATTATATCCGATGTGAACTGTCTATCTTGTGACCACTTGCTTGTGCTCGGAATTTGTGTGGTATCCTTGAGATCCACCCTGAGCTTGTTTTGCTTTGCTTTGACTGGTCTTGTGACCCCTTGCTCTCCCCCACTTTGCCTATGGGTTTTTGTACTGTCAAACATTATATATGTTGTGTTTGTTTAGGCTACAGTGGGTTAGCCTATAGGGGGTACACAATTGTAGGGTTAGGTACTTGTACT